AGAGGGAGGGAGGGAGGGAGGGAGAGGGAGAGAGAGAAAATATGAATTTGTCTTTCCTCTGCCTTTTTATTCTCTCTAGGTCCCCAAGCAGATTGGGGGCAAATTTTCCCACACAGTGCCTCCACTCACACACCAACGTCCTCTGGAAACACACTCCCAGACACACCCGAAATCATGCCTTACCAATTCCCTAGCTATTCCTTAATCCAGTCAAGTTGAGCCCTCAAATTAGCCATCACAACATCCAACTAACTAGCACGGGTCACCCTGAGGAGGAGGGGACTCACCCACTCCCCACCAGTCCAGAGTGCAAAGTCTCCTCTCATCCACCTTCACCACAGCCTCCAGGAGGCCGGGCAGAGGAGCAGGGGGCCTGGCACTGCATGCCATCCACCCAGGTGCAGAGACTGCTCTGCTGTTTCCTGCACAACCCTTAATAAGCCACTGAACTCTCTGTGCCTCAGTCTTATCTGCAAAATGGAAATAACAGCAGTGCTTTCTCATGGGGCTGCTGTTAGGATTGGAAGAGATGAGCCATGTAAAGGGCTGCCATAAAGACGGGGTTCAACAGGCACCTGTCATTCGTATTCATTTTAAGACAGGAGAATTAATTTCATAAAATTAATTACGAAGCATTGAAAGTTCAGGGGCTCTTCCCAGATCCCAGAGCTGACAGGTGGTAAAGCTGGGATCTGATCTCTGGTTCACCTGAAGGTCTGAGGAGGGAGTCTGGGGGTGGAGAGATGTGGAAGCTTCCTTGAATTGTGCCAGTTGCACTGAGCCCGATAAATTGCAGAGATCCGAGAGACTTTGAAATTTTCTGCAGGCCTTAGTTATGCCCTGTATTATAGAATGAATATTTATATTCCCTCCAGGATTCAGATGTGGAAACCTAATCCCCATGTGATGATATTCGGAAGTGGGGCTTCAGGGTGCAACTAGGCCATGACTGCAGAACCCCCATGAATGGGATTCATATCCTTCCGTAAAAGTCCCTGAGAGGTCGTGTGTCCTACAGCCATGTGAGGATACTGTGAGAAGACACAGTCTAGGAACCAGAGTGGCCTTCACCAGACACAGAAACCGCCAGAGTCTTGATGTTGGTCTTCCCAGCTTCCAGAATTGTGAGAAGTAAATTTCTGTGGTTTATAAGCCACCAGTCTATGGCATTTTGTTTTAGCAGCCTAAACAGACTAAGACACCCAGGGGACACTTTTGGTGGCTAGGAGAAAGAGAAAGGTCACTGCTGTCCCTGCTATAACCAGAAGATATCCACTTGCTTTCTGGATTGTAGTGAAATCAGTAACATAAACCCTCCTGTTGAGAAAGACAATGTTTAGAGTCATACACTTTCTTTTAAGAAGAGAACTGGCTTTGATCAAAGGGCATTAGGTTGTAGCACTAGACACTAAGACTTGATTTCTCCCTGCTACTGAGAGAGAATGGAAAATACAGAAGGTTAACAGTGTTGTTTATTATCTAGGCTCTGAGCAATGAGCCTCTGTGCCAATTAGAGTGAGACAAACGCTCAGGTTAAGATCAGACTAGACCTTTCTCTTTCAAAGGTGGGGGGATTTTTTTGTATTGTTCTTCTACCATTTGAATAAATGAGGCCTCTCCTACTAATAGGTTGCTCTTTGGCATCTTCAATGTAAACCTTTATGTTGTCCAGAATCGTGTGACACCCATGGCTCATCACGGCAAGTTGCACCATGGCCCCTGGTTCACCTGCTGGGCCTACTGCAAACCTTTCAGGTGTCAGAAAACACAGAGTGCGCTCACTGGCCTTTTCAGCCTCCTCCATCACAAGCCAAGCTCTTCATTCCTCCCCACTATAAAATGCAGAGTGTAATTTCCACCATTGACCACACCAGCGTGGTTTGCGGTCTCTTTTCAGCAGAGGCCAAGAAACAAGCTTGATAAAACCAAGGGCTTCTAAGATGAGATCAAAATGCAATGGAAAGATCAGCTAATATTTCAGCAGTATGTTGGGATTCCACAAAAGACTTCATTTAAAACTTTGCAATGTTTTTAAATTGCTAAAAACAATGTGGGGGTTGGTATTGTAGGATACTCACGAGGACATGCTGAATTCTCCTGAAATAATCTTTTTGTTTTTTAGTTGTTGATAGACCTTTATTTTATTTATTTATATGCAGTGCTGAGAATCCAACGCAGTGTCTCACACATACCAGGCAAGTGAGCTACCACTGAGCCACAGCCACAGCCCCTGAAATAACCTTTTTATTTTATTTTCTGTTTGATTCATTCATTTATATATATAACAGCAGAATGCCTTACAACTCTTATTTCATATATAGAGCTCAATTTTTTATATCTCTGGTTGTATACACAGAATACTCACACAGGACTTCATGTCCTCATACATATACTTTGGATAATAATGATCATCATATTCAATCATCATTAATTACCCCATGCCCCCTCCCTTCCCCTCCCACCCCTCTGTCCTATCTAGAGTTCGTCTATTCCTCCCATGCTTCCTCTCTCTATCCCAGTATGAATTAGCCTCCTTATATCAAAGACAAATTCAACTTTGTATTTTTGGGATTGGCTAACTTCGCTTAGCATTATCTTCTCTAACTCCATCCATTTCCCTGCAAATGCCATGATTTTATTCTTTTTTATTGCTGAGAAGTATTCCATTGTGTATATATGCCACTTTTTTTAATCCATTCATCCATTGAAGGGCATCTAGGTTGGTTCCATAGTTTAGCTGTTGTGAATCATGCTGTTATAAACATTGATGTGGCTGTGTCCCTGTAGTTTGCTGTTTTTAAGTCCTCTGGGTATCCAAGGTGAGGGATAGCTGGGTCAAATGGTGGTTCCATTCCCAATTTTTCAAGAAATCTCCATAATGATTTCCATGTTGGCTGTACCAATTTGCAGTCCCACCAGCAGTGTATGAGTGTTCCTTTCCCCACATCCTCGCCAACATTTATTGTTGTTTGTATGCATAATAGCTGCTATTCTGACTGAAGTGAGATGAAATCTTAGAGTGGTTTTCATTTGCATTTCTGTAATTGCTAGTGATGATGAACATTTTTTCATGTGTTTGTTGATTGATTGTACATCATCTTCTTAGAAGTGTCTCTTCAGGTCCTTGGCCCATTTATTGATTGGGTTGTTTATTTTTTTGGTATTTAGCTTTTTGAGTTCTTTATATACCCCAGAGATTAGTGCTCTATCTAATGTGTGAGGGGTAAAGATTTGCTCCCAAGATGTAGGTTCTCTATTTACCTCACAGATTGTTTCTTTTGCTGAGAAGAAACTTTTTAGTTGAGTCCATCCCATTTATTGATTCTTGATTTTAATTCTTGTGCTTTAGGAGTCTTATTAAGGAAGTTGGGGCCTAATTCCACATGATGGAGATTAGGGTCTACTTTTTCTTCTATTAGACGCAGGGCCTCTGGTTGTATTCCTAAGTTCTTGATCCATTTTGAGTTGAGTTTGTGCACAGTAAGAGATAGGGATTTAATTTCATTTTGTTGCATATGGATTTCCAGTTTTCCAAGCACCATTTGTTGAAGAGGCTATCTTTTCTCCAATGCATGTTCTTGGTACCTTTGTCTAATATAAGATAATTGTTGTTTTGTGTGTTAGTCTCTGTGTCTTCTATTCTGTATCATTGGTCTGCCAGTCTGTTTTGGTACCAATACCATGCTATTTTTGCTACTATTGCTCTGTACTATAGTTTAAGGTCTGGTATAGTGATGCCACCTGCTTCCTCTTCCTGCTAAGGATTGCTTTAGTTATTCTGGGTCTCTTATTTTTCCAGATGAATTTCATGATTGCTTTTTCTATTTCTATGAGGAATGCCATTGGAATTTTGATCAGAATTGCATTAAATCTGTATAGTGCTTTTGGAAGTATCATCATTTTGATAATATTAATTCTGCCTATCCAAGAGCAAGGTAGATATTTCCATCTTCTAAGGTCTTTTTTGATTTCTTTCTTTAGAGTTCTGTAATTTTCATTATATAGATCTTTTACCTCTTTTGTTAAGTTGATTGATTCCCAAGTATTTTATTTTATTTTTTTGATGCTGTTGAGAATGGGGTAGTTTTCCTCATTTCCCTTTTTGAGGATTTGTCACTGATAAACAGAAATGACTTTGATTTATGGGTGTAGATTTTATATCCTGCTACATTGCTGAATTCACTTACTACTTCTAGAAGTTTTCTGGTGGAACTTTTAGGGTCTTCCAGTATAGAATCATATCATCAGCAAATAGGAAATAGTGAAATAACCTTTTTTTTTTTAAAAAAAAAAAAAAAAAAAAGCAGGGCTGGGGTTGTGGCTCCGGTGATAGAGCACTTGGCTAGCATGTATGAGGCACTGGGTTCCATTCTCAGTACCACATATAAATAAATTTAAAAAATAAAAATATTTAAAAAGATATTTTAAAAAATATTTAAAAAGAAAGCAATCATAACAAAACCATCACGAGGAGGAAGTGTCAAGTTAGCATTCGTAGATTAAAGGGAAAGTAAAGTTAGTAAGAAGTAAAATTTATACTTGGCTACCTCATTCCTCTCATTCCTTGCAGTCCCTCCCTCAGGAAACTGTAACCTGGTGCAAGCTCAAAAGGACACACTTGGAAGACCTTATAACATACCAAATATGTTGACATATAAGGTGGACTAATATAAGCTGATGGGCTATTTTCTCAATGACAGGGTCCAAAAAATGTGTAACTTGTAGGAAAGCAAAAATAAACTATCAAATTGTCTCTTTATAACATTAATTTATTCATTCAGTTAGGCACAAATATAAGAATCTCTAACTATAAATGCAATTTACTAATTTAAAGGTTTTCTAGTCATATTTCACAGAAATAAGTGTATTCCAAATCTTCACATGCACCTTCAATAAGAATATCTTCTTTTTAACTACAGGCATTTTTTTGTACCACAGTTCAAGGGCAAAATATTCTCACTTCCTTCTACATTGTGCTGAGGCTCAGGAAACAATACTTGAAAGCCTGGCACCTCGCTGCTCCTGAGCCCTTTGAACTAGAGGCTGGGAGGCCTCTGAAGCCAGGGCTCTCTGACCTGCTCCTGCCCTCCTGTCTGTCACGAAAACAAGACAGGGAAAGCAGACTTCTTCTTCCTGGAGGTGGGTCGTGTAAGCTAGAGCCCCTCTCTTCTAAAAAAAAGATGTATAACCTAGAGAAATGATCTCGTCTCCTTTTAAGACCCACTCCAGAAGGATCCTGCCTCACATCCGAGAGGAAGCCTGGCTACACAGACATCTAGAAGAATCTGAACAGAGTGGCCTTACTGGATACCCCCTCCCCCACCTCATATTACTACTGACTCCTATGTCCAATGACATTTCTGCACAACTGTCTGTTCTTCATCAAATCTAAGCATAAAAACACAGTTTTGCTGTCTGTAATCCCAGCATCTCAGGAGGCTGAGGCAAGAGGATTGCGAATTCAAAGGCCAACCTCAGCAACTTAGGGAAGCCCTAAGCAACTCAGTGAGACCTTGTCTCTAAATAAAATACAAAAAAAGGGCTGGGGATATAGCTCAGTGGTTAAGTTTCCCTGGTTTTATCCCTAGTACCAAAAACAAACAACAAACAAAAAACCCCACAGTTTTCCCTGGGTTTAGATTCAAGGGCAAGCAAGGATAGCAAGAGGTCTTTGGGTCTTTGTTTCTGAAGGCTCCTATATCACTCAAAACTTGAATTAAACAAATTTGTTCATGGTTTCTCTTGCTAACCTGTCTTTTGCTCCAGGATATATTGACTATGACCCTTTTGATGGGTGAAGAAAGGGGTCCCACCCTCCACCTCTGCAGTTGTTTGAAAAACGCATGATTTGAAACTGTACTGAATGCTTGCTGCTAAAAAAATATATATTTCAAATCACAACTATTCATTTGCTATTATTATATTGGCTGCAATTTGCTTTCATATACTTCACATGGAGGGTCTGATGGAAGATGTTAGCTTCAACCTGCAGCCCTGGGGTGGTGGTTAGTTAGTATTTGAAAGAGGAGCCATTATGCCGTTCATATTGTGGAAAGCACAGCTTTGGATCTGTTGGGGCTATTTTTGGTCTACACCATAGGATGTGCTTCTGAGCACTGAGAATGCAGTTTCACTGGAGAAACGAGAGGCATTAGA